ATCCTTGACATTGAAGTAGACCCTCTATCCAGTCTGCTATCTTAAAAATTGTAAGCAAGTATTTTGCAGTTTTGCCATCTAATTAAAGTATACAATACATATGATCTATTGTATTTTTTGGCTCAACACAGGAACCACTTTCCTTTTTTAAAAATCAGTCTACTTACAGACAATCCTTCTTCCGCTCTTAAAAAAGTACCGTAGTATATCAGAGTCAGGAATTACATCTCCTTTAAATCAAATAGCCTAACTAATATTTTGTGAGTGGGAGTATCTGAATCTGTTCTAGATTACTACTGGCCTGAATCTTCTATTGGTATGAACCAAGATTGGCATGAACTAAGATGAACTAAGATTGGTATGAACAAAGAAAGAAATGCGCATGCAAAAGTATCAGGAAAAAAAACAAAAGAACAAAGGTTAAAAGAATGGCCTTTATTGGTAACAAGGGACACTTCTCGCAGCAGTAAAACTGAGGAGTGTGATCATGTCAAGAGCAGAGCGTCTTTACTCTGATAAAACTACAGCACAGATGACTGGCTAGCAGAAGAGCCAGTGCTTTAAAGCAACAAGGCAACAAGGTTACAGCACACCACATACGTCATTCCTTTTCCTGTTAGCGCAAAAAGAAAAACATAGAGCAGCTATAAAGATGCATACATTCCAAATAAGGAAAAAACAAGCAGCAAGCATTCGCCTTCACTGCAGATGTATGGAGGCTGAAATAAGCAAGATCCCTGAAACCAGGACTACCCTGTAACAGCTACTGACTCCTACAGGGTTTAAAAGATTTATCCAAAGAGTAGTTTGTTGTCACCAAGAGGAATGCAAGAGATACGCTAAGCAGTTGCCAGATGGCATTAGGTCCATCTTCCATTTTGCCCAAAAGTAATGCTGGCTCGACTACCTGATACCTGAACACAGAGAAACAACCCAGTGCTTGCGAGTATACGAGCATGAGAGAGTGAACACATGAAATCTATGAGAACGTGAGCGGGTAAAATAAACTGACTTAGAGACTTTCGAAGTAAATTACACAAAGGGCATCTGACAGGTCTCACACAGTTTGCTTCTAGCTCACCAGTTTGCTTCTAGTTACTAGTTTCTGTTATACTAGTTTTCTGCAACCTCATGCAAAGAGTGAACGATCATCAGTCTGCAACCATATCAATATCCTAGACTAGGACCAAAGATGGCTCTAGTCTTTGCATTACGAATAGACTAAAAATTGTAGTGGTGAAGGACTAGAGAACTACCAACAACTTCACATCTCTTTCCTAAAAAAACACTGGGACAATTACTCCTGCAAGACTAATCCTTAGGGCTGACTCCTTGTTTTTTTCCTAAATATCTACATTGATATCCACCTCAAAAAGGAATTTAACATGGGAAATGTTCTGAATCCAAAGTTTCTAAACTGGAAAAGATTAGAAATATTTAACCTGGCTGTCAAAATAAAGAGACTGCCCACAGAAAGGCAAAAGAAGTCTGGAAACATTGTAACCAGATACCCAGCTGACATTCACATTGTAACTTTTTACCCTAATACCTAGTGATCACCAATGTTCCTTATGCAAACCACACAGGTTAGAAAAACTGGTCCATCAACTTAGATCTGCAGAGAAAAATGCTTCCAGTAGCGCTGCTTGCAATCTAAACTAAACTATGTCTTCAGGCCTCCCAAAGACTTGCATCAAAATTAAACAGCATTCATTCATTAGCATTTCTGTGCACCCCAAACCTGCCTGTATAACTACTATCTCAATAGAAGTATTACAGCTGACCTTTTTTCTGTATACATGTATTATTTGATATTGGGGGGGGGGGAGAGAAATGTGAAGAAACAGTATTGCAACATGTAAAGTTACAAAAAAATACATAATTTGGTAATTTCCCCTTTCAGTAATATATCGCGATTTCTTCATCCATAAGCTGTTCTCAAAGACACTAAAAATGGGGCAGGCAGGAAAGACAGACAAGGGACAAAACAGGCTTTGCTGCCAACTCAGATAATTTGCCAATGAATTTCCTATAATTGATTTTTTATTCTTCAGAAATAAAAGGATGTTAGCTTTACGTTGTCACATTTGTTCACATGGGGAAAAAAAGACAAAAATGTACACGAATATCATATGCCTTTTGCTTCATTCAAAGAAGTCTGGCAAGAAAAGCCACTGCAGAGCTGCGCAAGATAATTAAAACCATTTGTGAAAACAAAGAGATAGTCTATTTTTATTTCAGCTGTTTCCTTGTTATGGTGAAATCCATTTCAAGGAAGACAATAATTCGTATATGCAAACCACTAAGCTGAAACTGGTTTGCTACTGCAATCTTAAAGAGAGCGTTACCTAAAATGGCTGGCTCTTAAATATCAGAGTGGGAAAACAAGATATATTAAGCTTGGCATGCTTTCTAACACAAAATAGATAGTATTAAAGTATTTTTAGGTATGCAAAAGGGGAATCAGTGAAACCGATACCTTCATAACTAGCAAAAGTTAAAGCTTTTTTTTTTTTTTTTTTAAACTATGCTGGTGTTACTGACATTAACCTATCAGACCTCCTGCATTTTACAAACCACAACGTTAAATAATTCATTTTGGCCTTTTCTAGCTCAAAAAGAAAAAAAAAAAGTATATCGTTATAGTTTCAGTAACACAGTACTGCATTGACTCAAAGCTAAGAATCATCTTAATACTTATGGGATGAGTTTTCATGAAAATTTTTTGTCGTTAGTGCACATCCACAGCAATGTTACCAATTCTGGACTGGGAAGTAAGCAGCCACCTTGCTACCCTCAAGGCAAGATAAATTATCCTTCATTCAAGAAACCAGGTATTCAAGTTTTATCCCTTTTCTGGCTGAAAGTACTCAAGTGTTGTCAGGGCTGAAAATACACTTGCAAAACAGAAGTTTGTTCATAAGAGTTTGTGCTCTTTTATCCATTTCTTAATAGGTGAAACAATTTTTCCAAGGCTCCCTCTTTGAGTAGCCTACTCTATATGTCAAGATTTTAAGATCAGTGTTGGTTGACCTTTTTTGATGGAGAAATAAATCCCTATATATCTGACTGTAGAACATTTTGAATTATTCAGAGATGATTAATCAAACTTCGCCCCAAATCTGCCTCCATAGCAGCTGGTCTACTGCGAGTACAGACGATTACACTACATTTATTTATGGACAGTGTAAAGAAAGTTCACCTTAAATTTATGCAGCTTAAATTCATGATCTGAAAACTATCGGCAGATAATATGATTAGAGAGTTACTGCCTTGAAGAGGTGAAGGCTCCAGAACTGGCAGCGACTGATTATATTGTGGACCAAGTTCTCAGAATGAGCAATATTCTTAACTTCTGGTAAGAAAGTATCCTTCCTAGCACCTTCAAATCCCTAAGTTTCTCTGACCTTATGCAATTCCTTCCAGGCTCTTATTACAGATCTCCGATAAAAAGGTGTCAAGTCCCAGCAATCAGAACTATCACATCCTGCAGAAATTAGATATAGTGCTCCCTTCTAATTCTTCTACTTCTGTGCACCCTAAACTGCCTCCTATATCAAGTTTTGTGGAAAAACAGTTCTCTGAAGAAAAAAAAAAAAATCCATGCTGTACCTGCCATCCTTCTTGAGAGAGAAGGAAAAGACAGTTAAAAAGTAAAATAGCATATAGTTTTACAGACTTGTGTTGACTGAACCCTAATGGGCAAAACTTTTTTTCTGTTTCACTTTATTCTTTCAAAGAAAACACTGTTATATTTCCAAGTTTCTGGGGAAAAAAAAAATCTAGAAAGCATAAATCACATTTTCCAGTAGCAACCCTGGAAGAAGATTTTCCCAGGTGAAAAGCAGCTAGCATGCCCATATAGTTTATAAGCAGTCATTGTTAAACTGTGCACTAACAGTAAACTGATCGGATATCTGCAAGCATTAGTACTTTCTTTGATTAGCAGCTGTTTTACAAACATAATATTCTACAGCATACAGCCTTGGCTACAGTTTACCTAAATAAGATTCCACTGCAACTGTAGAAATATATATATTTGTTTTACAGCTCCGAGGTTATGCTTCTCAATACCACTCTACATAAATGTCAACACAACTTAAGAGCATGAAATAAATTTCTAAGAGAACAAGCTCATGACAGTTACAAAAAAAAAAATTACCAAAAGCAGCAATATTTTTAATTCCATCTAGTTTATAATATCTCATTTAGAACTACAACTTACTTCTAAGCTCTGAGGTTAAGCAGTTTCTACAAAGCCAAATCCTAATCTCCAGCACCTCAGTCTAATATTAATGTCGGTGTTGATAGCAGGAAATCATTTTGGACTTTACCTGGAAAGCATGAAAAAAGTATTTTAAAGAAATTCACCCTGTCTGCTCCTGCCTTTTGCTATAGCAGGGGGAAGGAAGAATTTATCTGGAGGCCCTCTGCTTTATCACTACTTTAGCCATATGACACAGTAGTGAGAAGAGATGGTCACACAAATCCACAGGCCATAAGCTACTTATTCACTGTTTTCGATTAATTTTTAATTAGCGTAATGCAATAATCTTAATATTTTTGCTCTGGGCAATCACATTAAGTCAAAACTTTAAGTTATTCCCTCCCCCTCTACCACCACCCCTTAAGCAAACTTCTTCCTTGAAATCCATTAAATGATGATCGCCTGGAAAAGATATTTTAAATGACTTCCCTTTTTTCTGTCTTGTAGTAGCTTAACAGTTTTACTGAAAAACAAGAAGTTAGTAGTAATAGACAGGAAAAACAGTAATGAACACTTCCATATCTAAAACAGAAAGAAATGGAAAGTTAAAAAGTTACTTCATGTAACACACGTGAACAAAACAAAAAGATAAAAAATACCATACACCATAAAACAAACCAAAAATTTTGCCTGCTGTGATCCCAAGTGCCTAGAAAATGAAGGACAGGGAGACAAAATACGTGGAAAAGTCAGTGATTCTAAAGCAACGGTAGAAAGTCTTGTGAAAACTTTCACACAGGGTGAGAACACAAGTTTGCTTCATTTTACTCTTAAACGTTTCTGAACGTAGTCTAAACAACTGTCAAGAAACATTTATATCTCCTCTCTTAGAAGCTTCTTCCTTCTTATCCTTTAGCTCTTCCCTATTCTGTGCATATTTAAAAATACTTCATCTAAAAATGAGCTGAAAATAATGTAAATAAAAATGTGTTATTGAAAGACCATATGAGGAAACAAGGGTATCTTAAAAGGAGAACACAATTCTATGAATCATTTTCTAATTTCCTCCCAAGTGTTTTTTTATAGAATCATAGAATAATTCCGGCTGGAAAGGACCTCTGGAGGTCATCCAGTCCAACGCTCTGCTGGAAACAGGGCCAACTTCAAAGTTAGACCAGGCTGCTCAGGGTCATATAACAATGTTACTAACTCAATACATTAAACCAGTAGGCAAGATACAAGCTGTAATAAAGATATCTCAATAGACATTCAAGTTTCCTGGTATAGTAACAGTGAAGAGAATTGCTCTGTGGTTTTATACAAATGCACATCCTATTTTCTGAGCGCATAAATGCACACAAATGCCTTACGCTCCTAACTTATACTTACTCCTTATATTCTTGATCAGACTGCTTTTCTAATATCTGAAGTAAAAATCTACAAGTTCAAAAAAAAAGTATTCTGTGCGGCAAGACAAACAATTTAATTTTAAATTGTGTAGCAAAATCTAAATTATTTTTAGAAGTACAATATTTTTTCAACATAAGTTCAAACATTAACTTCAACTGGTTTTCAATTTAAAAACAGAACAGCTTCCAAGCTAACTCTTTCTCAAGCATTCTCCAGCTCACCGCTTTCCAAAAATAATTCCAGGTTTAGTAAACGTAATATTTAGTAAATGTCCTTCAACACTTTAGGATGCATGTTTCTCTGCATCTTTTATTAATAAGAATTATAAAAAACACATACAAGTACTTTAAGTACTGCTTACCAATAGGGGGTTTTGGCTTGTTTCTTTATTCTTTCTAAATAATTTTATTGCGGCTTCATTTTCCACACTGTTCATTATCGTACACATTCATGGGGAATCAAAAGAATTCCTTCCTAATGGTTGTCTTTAAAAACAGGTCCATCCATTACCTTTTAGCTTGTGTTAGCTTATGGTGTCTTCTTATGGCCTCTTAGCTTCAGTGAAGGAAATAACAAAACAAGTATCTATTTAGGCAGGTAAGTGTCCATTTTTCACATTCCCTGTTCCCATCTTTCTAACAATTCCTTGCACGTGCCTTTCAGACACGGTTTTTCTGCTGCTATTTTATTATGGTGCCTCCTACAATCTTTTGCCAGTGATGAGAGTCTTGAGGCTCTCACTGTATGCTCTTTAATCTGGCTTACTCCAGCTATGTCCACATCAGCAAGGAGTGCCACGTAATAGAAGCGGAGCTAGAAAGTGAGACAGGGTCGAGGAGCTACATCACATACATTTCTGGAGTTTTACTTTGGAATAGCTTTACTCCAGTCCCATGCCCCCCTCCAGCTTTGGAGCTCATTCCATCCAAAAGGAATTCAGCTACCACGACCCAAGATCATTTCACACGTCAAATCAAAGTGCAGTCAGTGAAAAATATCAAGAAATTCACTACAAAATTCCTTGGCCAAAATAAAATACAAATGCAGATGCATCCTGTTTCCCTTTCACCTATTCTGCTTTCTGCTTTAACATGCATTCTAGCTGTAACGGTAAACCTCAGCAGGGGTCAGTTATGTCCACTAACTCAAAGCTACATTTTTTCCAATGACTTCTATTCTTTATTCAGTGAATGCAGATATAAATATTTTCATATGTGATCATACTTAGTTTGTTTCAAAAAAATTCTACCTTTCACTCGGTTTTGAAAGTCTCAAAGTTTCACCTGAGACCATTAAGCAGAGGCTTCCTTCTCTCCCTTTCAGTCTGGAGGTGCTTTCACAGAACATTTTCCTTGCTTTACAGCTATATAGAGAGGTGACCCCACGGTTTACCGCTTTCCTTCATCACTGGGATAGATCTGCTTTTCTCCTTCTTCTACACACACTCTAGGCTAGAAAACTACTGTCTCTACAAAACTACTGAAAAGACATGAAAACAGTTAAAAAAAAAATAAGTGAGTAACAAGAATCTTTTCAGTTAAATTGATTAAAATTGTATTTTGAACATACATCTACTTAATCTGAATGACTAATACAATAGGCGAAGGAAAGTTCTTTCACAAAGCACAAAACATTTGTGTTTTCAAATTGAGTGGCAAATCCGATTTCTACTCAGACCTAAGCAATTAACTAGAGAGAGCTGGACCACAGAACTACTTGCTTCGCATGGAATGAAGACCAGTAACCTGAGTACCACTACCCACGTAAATGCAAATACTTGCTTTTATAAAGAGGACAAATTTCAGGAAGCATTAAGCATCTACAGAGATGCTGAAAAAGGGAGGGTTTTCCCCCCCCCTCATTCATTATGTGCACAACAGATACAATCACATGTCAAACAGTTAAAACTGCTGCAGTCGCGTTTGAGAGCAAAGACCATGCTGTGCCCTTTATAAGTGGAAAGGTCACTCAACTCCCTCTGAGTGACCCTCCAGGTTCCTGAAAGCTTCCTAAGGACCGGAAGAAAGCAATTGTCGCTCCTATCTTCAAGGAGGGCAAAAAAGAGGATCTAGGGAACAACAGGCTAGACAGCCTCACCTCGATCCTGGGGAAGGTTGGGGAGTAAACCCTCCTAGAAGCCATTTCCAAACATATTAAACATAAGCAGGTGACTGGGAGTAGTCAGCTTTGATTTACAAAGGGAAAATAATGCCTGACCAACCCGAGAGCCTTCTACAATGAGACAACTGGCTTGGTGGAGGAGGGGAGAGACATGGATGTTTACCTTGACTTTAGTAAGGCTTTTGACAATGTCTCCCATAATATCTTCAAAGAAAAACTGATGAAGTACAGATTAGATCCCTGGACTGTGAGGTGGCCTGAAAACTGGCTGAACTGCTGCACGCATTGTGATCAGTGGCCAGCCCAACGAAGCCCAGTGGCAAAGCCCAGTTGGAGACCAGTCACTAGCAGTGTACTCCAGCGATCAAAACTGGGGCCAATACTGTTTAACCTCTTCGTTAGCGACCTGGATGATGGGAGCGCACTCTCAGTTTGCTGATGACACAAAACTGGGAGGAGCAGTTGATACACCAGAAGGCTGTGCTGCCATTCAGAGGGACCTTGACAGGCTGGAGAGATGGGCGGAGAGGAACCTCGTGAAGTTCAGTCAAGGGAAGTACAGGGCTGCGCATCTAGGGAGGAATAACACTGTGCACCAGTACAGGCTGGGGGCCAAATGGCTAGAAAGCAACCTTGCAGAGAACCACCTAGGGATCCTGGCGAACAAGTTCGTGAGTCAGCAACACATCTCTGGGGCAAAAAAAGGCAGCACCAGCCCTGTGTTAAAAACAGGGCTGCCAGCAGGTCAAGGGATGCAATCCTTCCCCTCTACTCAGCAATGGTGAGGTCACACTTAAGAGTACCGTGTCCCGTGGTGGGCTCCGCAGTACAAGAGTCGCGGACAGACTGAAGCAAGCACAGCAAAGAGCTACTAAAATGATTAAGGTACTGGAGCATCTGTCATACGAGGAAAGGCTGAGAGAGCTGGCATTGTTTAGCCTATAGAAGAGAAGGTTCAGAGGGGATCTTATCAGTGCATATAAATACTTGATGGAGGGGAGTAAGGAAGACAGAGCCAGACTCTACTCAGTAGCGCCCAGTGACAGCACAAGAAGCAAGAGGAACAATAAATTACATTACAGGAAATAACATCTGAACGTAAGAAAGCGTTTCTCCTGGGTAGGTGGTTGAACATTGGAACAGCTTGCCCAGAACAGTCACCGAGTCTTCATCTTTCAAGATATTCAAAAACCCTCTGGACATAGTACTGAGCAAGCTGCTCTAGCTGACCCTTTTTTGAGCAGGGGGGTGGTGTTAGACTACATGATCTCCAGGGTTGGTCCCTTCCAACCTCAACTATTCTGTGACTTCCCTAATAAACTCAGTCCCTCCTGTTGTACCTGTCCTTTTCTTCCTGCTTGTTCTTTCTCAGTGTGTATCTTGAGGCAGATTCCTCCTCTGAATAGGCATCAGTCAAGGTTACTGGCCTTTTCTTTTTTAAATTGAGGTACCGTTTCAGTGCCTAGTTATTGACAACAGCTTACCTTATTACTAGTCTCAGTAGAAAGGCACAGACTGCATAACTCAGTAACGCCTTCTACTTTAATTTCTCCAGCTTCTCCCGAGGCCTATATCCAAATCCATTGCACA